GAATTTCCTTGATTACTTGGAAATACTCTTTGGCAGCCTGTTGTTCTAAGGGCTGTCATTTGCTCTTTCCTTGGGTTTCACTGAAACCAGGTCCCTCTGTGTGCAATTCCCACCTCCTCCACCTTCAGGATCAGGCTCATGTGCTCAAGAAGACCCTGGTTCTGGGAGCCACTCTGTGTAGGCCTCTCCCCGGACAGCACCTGTGTCCTTCCAGCCTGGCTGGAGCTGCTCCAGGGGAGCCACCGAGAAAGTGATCTCCATCCTGCAGATCTGAGCACATCCTCAGGAAACACTGCTGCTCCATCCACTGGGTGGCAGCATCCTTCCTGGGGATTCACCCTCTTTCTAGAAGCAAGTCCACAGAGCCACAGCACCCCGGGCTCTGTTGTGGTTGGCATCTTCACCCAAGAGCACTGCCACCCACCCCATGTTCCTTGGGGAGCTTCCTGGTGACCTCAGGAACTGGCTCAGTGCTGGAGTGCAACCCCCAGATGCCTGTGCCACCCCCGCTCTGCTTCCTGCTCAGACACATCCAGTTTGCTTCCTTCCCTAAGGAGCCTGTGGARCATGATGGGGAAATGAAGAGGWTCCCTCTGGGGCAAAGGAGCCTGAATTTGGTTCCATCACCACTGAGGCTTGGGCAGGTCACCAAGCTGCATCTCAGCCTCCACAGCCACAGAGCAGATGTCAACAATGATATCTGCCACTGCTGTTTTGAGAATTGAGGGTGATGGGCGTGCAACAGCCCCTGGTCCTCAGCGGGACCCCCTAAGATGTGGAGAATCAGCAGCTGATCCTTCTGAGGCCTGGCTGTCCCTGCCCCTTAGGTCTGGAGAGGGCTAGTCTTAGCATTGTGTGTGAACCTTCTGAACATGGGCGCATCCTTGGAATGTTCTAGCATCCCATTTGACCTTGGAAGGATCTAAATTTAAACACAGCCCCACCATTGATTTCTTGACTCAGCCAGTGCTTGTCTGTGCTTTAAGCCCTCTGGAGAGTTCTTTCATCACAGAGGGGTCTGTATCAGATGTCCCATGGGCTGGCTCACAGGACAGCACCCCTTTTCAGACTCAGCCCTGGAATGGGGTGCAGAGCTACTCTAGCTCTCCTGCTCTATGAGGGTTCCCACCATGGGCAGGAGTGAAATGCTTCTCCCCTCCTTGGATGGCGAGTCTGGGCTTTGGGTAGAAAGAGGGATCTGCTCCCTCTGTCTAGGGCCCCTCCAACTTGGTCCCTGGTCAAAGCCTGGGGAAGTGCATGTGGAGCCAGGGGCTAGATGTTCTATGGAAGTGACATGTYGTGACCCTGAGCCTGGAAAGGAACATGTGGACCCAGGGCTCGATGTCCTAGTGACACAGGTGATGTGTCATGACCCCAAACTACTTAGTTCTTCTCAAGTGCCTCCAGCTTGACCAAGACGTGCCAGGCTCTTGGAGGATCTGTCAACCTGTCCTCATGCACCCCAGGGACCCCTGACAGAGCAGGTGAGGAGCAGCTGAGTCAGCTTGTGCGTTTCTTTGACATTTTAGATGCCATGGCCCTGGGACCCTTCAGACCACACCTGTCAACACCACAGCTGCGACATCTCCAGCTCGAGTTTAGGAAGGTCTGTGAGTGCCACTCGGCTCCTCCTCTCCTTACCCTCCTCCTGTGGTGACTGTCCCATTACCCTCCACCTGTCAAGGACAGAATCTGGGCCAGTGTGTGAGGAGGGAAACATGGCAGAGGAAGCTGCTTTTCAAAACGTCCTCCCGACACCAGTCTTCAAAAGCCTCTGGGTGAAGCATCTGGCTTCAGTGGTTTGCTGCCTCCCACCTCCACGTGCCCTCTTGGGACTCATGACAGTTGGGAGCCAAAGGCCAGGGGCCGATGACCCTGATGGCCTCCTGCCCTCCGTCCACACCTGGCTATTTGTCACCCCCATTGAATCTTCTACCACTCCAGTAACTCGCCTCTTGCAGAGGACAGAAGAGTGGCCTCAGGTAAGACC